GCTCATTTTCTGAGGTTGGTCTCAAACTTGAGATCCTCCTGCTTCAACCTCCCAAGTTGCTGGGATTACAAGCACGTGCCACTATGCCCAGCTTAATCAGACTTTTATTATAAATAGTACTCCCTGCTGGGCATGGTGGCACATGCCTGTAATCCCAGCAGTTTGGGAGGCTGAAGCAGAAGGATCACAAGTTCAAGGCTAGTCTCAGCAATTTAGTGAAGCCCTGAGCAATTTAACAAGACTTCTGTCTCGAATATAAAAAAGGGCTGGGATGTGACTCAGTGATTAAGTGCTCTTGGGTTCAATCCCTGGTACCTAAATAAATGGTACTCCCTGCCCATTTCAGAAAAATGATGTTTTCATCCTTACCTAAGTATTCTTGGTAAGTAGATGAATAGTGCTAGATATGGACCCTCAGTGGCTTGGGAGGCTGAGACAGGAGGATCGCAAGTTCAAAGCAAAAGCCAGGTGCTAAGCAACTCAGTGAGACTCTGTCTCTAAATAAAATACATAATAGGGCTGGGGATGTGACTCAGTGGTTGAGTGCCCCCGAGTTCAATCCCTAGTAAACCTTAACCCCCCCCCMAAAAAAAAGACCCAGAAAATAAAATATCTTATGGTTTGAAGTGCTCACTTTTTTTTTTAAGATTTTTTTTTTTTAAACAAAAGAGAAAATGAGGTTGAGAAGTGTCTGAGTGACTTGGGTGAGGCCACCTCACCAACTGGTTTTAGAATTGAGATTCATATCACCCAGCTGGCCCCAGCACCAAGGCTTCTTTTGTACTACCCTGCATCACTACCCGCTCACCCACCCAGCTCTGCCTTGCACTCACTCACCCAGCTCTGCCTTGCACTCACTGAGTGAGAACTGAGATAAGAAGGTGCAGAGTAGCACCTTATTCCATCTCAGGTGAAAATGTGTGTAAAGTACCATATTAAATCAGCTTGGATATTTTAAAATCTGAACAATGAAATAAGAATTGAAAAAGATATGTTTCATGGTAGTCTGGAACATCTCTGAAATGACTAATCATGGAAAGGCAATAAGTGATAGCCAAAGATGACTTGTATGTGAACTGCTGGGTGCTTGCTTATATTTTGGACTTTTTGCCACTGCTATAAAACTAACCTAAAATAGACACTGTTAAAATCAGATGTCATGTTTTAATATTAATAACATTCTCTGGCTGGATGCCTGTAATCCCACTGACTTGGGAGGCTTGATGCAGGAGGATCCCAAGTTTGAGGGCATCCTGGGCAACTTAGCAAAACCCTATCTTAAAATAAAAATTTAAAAAGAACTGAGCTAGAGTGCCCCTGGGTTTGATTCCCAGTACCAGAAAGTTGTTAACAATAGTCTCTGATCCCCTTCCTACCCAATATTTTACTGTATTAGTTCCACATAGCTTCTGAGTGATTGTATTAAATTAGCATCCATATTATTTCCTCAGTAGTAAGACCCTTGCCTTTCAAGAGATCACAACCTGTTTGTCAGAGAGTGATTGTGTCTGCTGATAATTTAATATGATGGGGAAGGTTAAAGGTCATGCCGAGATTGTGGGCCAGTGTGTGCTCTGTCTTAGCACCAGAGTAGTCCATAGAACCCTCAGAATCCATGCTGAAAATACTGTTCTTTGAATTTTGTGTTGCTTGGAATAACAGAGGCTACAGGTATCTATTTCAGCCACCTTAATGTTTTTACTTTATGTACTATGTAAGAGGTTTTCATCCTTTCTAATATATTGAGGAAGAAACTGGAGACAAAAATATATTCTTACACAAAGCTTCTCAAGTCAGGAGTAAGCTGAAGTTATATTCTGTTATTCTTTGCAAACAGCTATCAATGAATGATCAGTAGATTCTAGCCTGGCAAATTTATTTTAAAACCATCTGATTATGACCTTTATAAATCTGTACCAGTTACTTTCAAAAATTGTCAATTCTTGACTATTGAATAATCATTGAATAATTTTGTAACTGTTTTGTAATTAAATCCCTTTGGTTTCTAATACCTAATTCTTTCAATATACATTCAGTGCTAATCTGTTAAGCCTTTTTTTTTTTTCCTTTTCTCTCTTTTTCTTCTCTCTTTTTTTGTGGGTACTGGGGTTGATTCATGCAGGGCCTTGCATATGCTGGATAAACATTCTTAGCACTACATCCCCAGCCACCCCCACCACACCCTACCCTTTTAAATTTTAGTTTTGAGACAGGGTTTCACTAAGTTGCCCCAGGCTGACCTTACACTTGTGAAACTCTGATCTCAGACTCTGGAGTAGCTGGAATAAGGTATGAAACACTATGTCTGGCAATCAAATCTTTATTTCTCTTTATACCATCTGAGTGTTATCACTTGGAAGTTGCTGACATGAAAACTCATACTTAGCCAAGCATGTGCCTATAATCCCAGCAGCTCAGGAGGATTGTGAGTTCAAAGCCAGCCTCAGCAATGGTGAGGTACTAAGCAACTCAGTGAGACCCTGTCTCTAAATAAAATACAAAAATGGGCTTGGGATGTGACTCAGTGGTCAAGTGCCCCTGAGTTCAATCCCAGGTACAAAAAAAAAAAAAAACAGAAAGATGCTCCCCCTCCCTAGAGAGTATATGCTAGGCAAGCACTCTCTGAGCTGCATCTTTAGTCCATTTTTAAAATTTTATTTTGAGGGCTGGGGTTGTGGCTCAGTGGTAAAGTGCTTGCCTTGTATGAGGCACTGGTTCAGATCCTCAATACCCCACCCACACATATACATACATAGATGGGCTTGGGATGTGACTCAGTGGTCAAGCGCCCCTGAGTTCAATCCCAGGTACAAAAAAAAAAAAAAAAAAAAAAACAGAAAGATGCTCCCCCTCCCTAGAGAGTATATGCTAGGCAAGCACTCTCTGAGCTGCATCTTTAGTCCATTTTTAAAATTTTATTTTGAGGGCTGGGGTTGTGGCTCAGTGGTAAAGTGCTTGCCTTGTATGAGGCACTGGTTCAGATCCTCAATACCCCACCCACACATATACATACATAGATGCATACATACATAAAGCTATTGTGTCCATCTACAACTTAAAAAAATTTTTTTTGAGACTGGATTTTGCTAAATTTTGCAAGCTGGCCTTGAATCTGTGCTCTTCCCACTTCAGCCTCCCAAGTAGCTCTGATTACAGGCATATATCATCTCATCCCATGACATGAGATTTCACTAGTCCAGTACCAACATTGTATAGATAAGGAAATAGAGTCTTAGATAGTGAAGTAACTTGTCAAAGAACATGCCTGAAATTGGTGGCAAAGGCTAAATTCAAACCAAACCTAATTTCTAGACTGCTCATCAGCATCCATATTTGCTTTCCCAGGTATTTTCTTATTAGAGCACAAACCTACTCTGACTTATTAGTTTCAGCCTTCTGCTTTTCAGTGGAATAAAATTTTTTAGTGCAAAACTTCTCCCACATTTTGAGGTCTAATATGACTGTGTCTAAATTTCTTCTTGCTTTGACAGTACATTATAGCCCTTTGCCCATGGATTTCTTCTTAACTATCATACTTGCTCTCTAGTGTAACCACATTTGCCCAGGTCATTTTTTTTTTTTAATTTAAATCATTTTCCTGCCTTACTATGCTTTTGACTTCCAAGAGCATGTTAGTTTTTTTTTTTTTAAGATAAATTGCACTATTCACTAAGCATGTAACCTTAAGACAAATTATGTGAACTGTTATAGCCTTATTTAATTCATCAATAAAGGGGAATAGTAGTTCACTTAAAGGGTTGCTATGAAGATTATGTAGATATCTAATTTTAGTTCTCTTGAGTATATGCCTAGGAATGGAATTAGTATAGAATTTTTAGTTGAATAGCATGAAATAAGACAGAGAACTAAAATTTATTATTTAGGAGATTTAGGTTTTTTTTTTTTTTTTTTAATTTAAAACTAGGCATTGAACCCAGGAATACTTTATCACCGAGTATATACCAAGTCCTTTGTCATTTTTTATATTGAGATAAGGTCTCTCTAATTTTCTGAGGGTTTTGCTAAATTGTTGAGGCTGGTCTTAAACTTGAGATCCTCCTGTCTTGGCCTCACCGGTTGCTGAGATTATAGGCATGTACCACCATATACCTGGCTTGTTTAGGGGATTTGGGATTTTCTTTCCCTTTTTTATTGGTTAAGATGTAAATTCTTTGCATCGGGCCTCATGGAGCACTGTGCTTCCTGAGGTACTTGGCACATCAAAGAAACTGATGGAAAACAAGAGCCTGCATGGCAGTGGCACATGCCTATAATTCCAGTGGCTTGAAAGGCTGAGACAGGAGGATTGCAAGGTCAAAGCCAACCACAGCAACTTAGTGAGGCCCTAAGCAACTTAGCAAGACCCTGTCTCAAAATTTAAAAAGGGTTGATTGAGGATATGGAGGATATGACTCAGTTGTTAAGTGCCCCTGGGTTCAATCCCCCAGTACCATAAAAAGAAAACAAAAGCCTACAATCAGAAAGGACCACAAACAAGTACGGATGTCCCACATAATAAAAAAGGTATTTGTATTAGATAGGATAACAAAAATAACCCCCACATCTTTGTGGTTTTACTTTGGCCAAAGCATTCGTTTTCATTCACTTCATATATTGGAACTGTGGGAATCAGAAAAGGAAAACTTTTCCCAAAGGAATTCAAGTTAGAAAAAAGTTAGATTAAGGTGAACACTTATTTCATATTTTTTATAACATAGCCTTTCCTGTAGAGCCCGAGACTTTGGAGATTTGATAAAAAGATTTTCTTAGCCATTCCCTTTCCCATTCCAAACAGAACTGAGAGGGAGAGAAGGAATCTGAAGCCACTTGGGAAATTATTTTTTGGTCTTTCATTCACTCAGCTCAGGAGCAGGCTTTCAAGCATTTCCTTTAACCTTTACTGAAAGCCTTAGAAATGAAATAGTTGAGGGAGAACTTAGTGTAAAGCCTGTGGCGTCACTTGGAGGTCACTCATCACTTTTTCTTTTCTTCTTTTTCAGTAAACGAGATAATTGGGAGAGACATGTCCCAGATTTCTGTTTCCCAAGGCTCAGAGGCGAGCAGAGTCACTCCCATCCTCGATCCTGAGTCCCTGGATTTAGGAAGATCTGATGGGCTCTAACAGTTCTCACTGCAGCCTGGTATCCACCAACTTCTCAGCACGTTACTCTCTTGGACCTTGGGTTTCCAACTTTTTGGCCTTCAGGACTGGTGCCAGGAGTTGGATTCACCACTGTGGGGAAAAGCAGCATTCTTCCACCTCAGGCCTTGGATAGATTTTGTAAAAGAACAGGAGCAGTATAGGTTATATTTGAACTGTGGGGAAGAGAGCTTTGCATTTTTTTATATTTAAATAGGATACTTTTTATATGATGGGTGCTTTGAGTGTGAATGCAGCAGGCTCTCCATTTCAGAGATGCTGCTTTTGCAGGTGATCTTGTTGTGTAACTAGGATTGGTAATTTGTACTGTTTTCCTGGTCATTTGAAGGCCCCCTTAGTTTTGATGATATTTTTAAAAATAGGAACTTTTGATAAAACCTTCCAGAGGCAAATAAGCAACAACAACAAAAAATTATCCTAAGCCCATACCAATGCCTCAGAAATTTGGCATGTGTCCTGAAGCCTTTCATAGATTCATAGGAAATAAAGCCAAATGTAGCTCATACTCTTTATAAAAGTAAACTATTAGAAAAATGAGACCATTCCATCATTGAAGTGTTGGAATATAAAGACATTCCAGAGCATAGCCTTTTTGTAACTTTATAGGTAATCTTCCTGCAGTCTCTCCATGCTGACTCCATGTTGAAACTGCTTTTTCCCCTCAGGACCATGGGTAAGATGGCTACTTACAGGTGACTCTGAAAGGTGAAGTATTAGCTAGGTAATTTTCAGTTCCTGACATTCTAAAAACTAGGAGTCAGTAAGAGTGCTCTTCCCATTTGTGTTTCCTGGCCCCAAAACCTTTTCCAAGTGGGAGCTTCTGCTTTTAGTTTGTTCTTGTCACCATTGAAGCAAGTCTCCTCCTGATGGTTCAGACGGCTTTGCAGTTTTCTTTTCTAGAGCCCAGGCAAGCTATGTCAGGAGCTGAGCATAACTGACCTATGCATCAGGATGAACAAAGAAAATGCAGGACTCTATATGGAAAGGCTTTAAGATTCTCACTAGTATAGGTTTGTCCTCCATTCTGTCTACAGCCTAAAATGACTTTAGCCTAACCTGTCCTGTGTGGGTGACCTAAAACCTAAACCCAGCCTTTTTTTCTAAAAGGCTTTGAGGTACATCCAAAAAATGAGATGGCATCATAGAACTGACCCTCCAAACCAAAGACGCCCTGGTGCTGTTGCTGGTGAGACTGGCATCCAAAGCAGGGGCTAGCACAAACTCCAGCCTGCTGTCTACCAAAGGAGGTACCCAAGGTGGGTACTTTTTTCAAACCCCACTTCATATCCCTCCCTCCAGTGGGATTCACTAATTGTTTCTGGGCCTATTTCAGAGCCCTTGAAATTTTCATTATGTTTTTAAATTAAATAATGTACTTTCATTTATTCAGGAAGCAAATTTTTTGAGTGCCTACATGTAAGACAGTGTACTGGGCAGTTTGAAGTTATTATTAATGTTGTTAATCCAGCGGATTGTAGGTCATAGATGCCAGGACTCTTCTGAGGCTAAGTCAGACCTGAGCAAGGGGCTGGCTTGTTGCCTGCCACCTGCAGGGTAGGAGCTACTGACCTAAAATGAGAAAGTATGGTCTTTTGTTGTTGTTTAAACATTATGGGTTTCTCCCTTAAAACTAGAGAAACAGCGTCTAATCCTTTAGCAAATCACTCTAGCCTCTCTGGGAGCTGGGTGTTTTCAAATTTTATTTGAAAGTAAATTTTGTGTCAGCATGGGTATAGTGAGATTTGCTTTAGGGCCTGTGGTTGGAAGCTCTTCACTTCCTTTGGAGGGAAAGGGGGTTGGCCTCTCAGGTGAAATTTCAGAGACATGGCCAGACTTGCTGTACCCTCTTGCCCCAGGGTAGCTGCCTCATGGGGGTCCTTGCAAGACCCTTTTGCGGGTTGCTTTGCTGCACTCAAGAAGAAAAGCCTCTATGATCCAGAATTGCTATGCACCAAATTTTTGATGCCTTTTAAATACCTTGATGCCTGTAGCATTAGAAATGCTTTCCTATTTAAAATAAAAGTTAAATTTTAAAATAGAGCTTTGTATACTATGTAAGCAGTTTTATATTAGCTTTGTAAGAGCTTTCATGTAAGAGTCAACAATATTTTTTGGCACTGTAGATAAAGACAAATTTTTGTGCAACATAGTGGTGTTAAAGCACACATCCATTGGACTATGCAAACTAACTTCTAATGGCAGCACTAAGCAACTGGACATGTGATAGTATGTCCCCCTTCCCTCTTAAACTTGTGCTAGATCTTGGATTGAAGAATGAAACAAGCAGCCTTCTGCTTACTAGAGATGCACAGAGAAACATGGCTGAAAACAGCTTTAAAAAGAACAAGTGTCTTTAGGTTCACATGTGGTGCTGCTGCCGCCCCAGGTCCAACCCCACCAGGGCCAGCTACTGTCACCAGACCTTTATTTGGCCTGGCAGTGAAGCCCTGTGTGTGACATTCAGAAAAGATCTTGGTCATCTTTAAGGCCTAGATTGGAACCCTGTATTTCATAAAATGGATGTTCAGTAAAGAAACTTGTTCTCAGTTATGTTTACAGCACTTGAGATCGTGTTTTCTTGTACAGTTTATATTTTAAAACGTTTTATAGGAGTGCAGTGCTCCTTAACACAAATACAAAGGGAAGAAAAGCCAACATTTCAGGCTTCTCCTTAGTTGTAGTGCTAAAATAATAAATGGTGACAGATCAAAAGTCTCTTTGAAAATCTGTCTTGAGTTTTTCTCCGCTTGAGGCTGGTTGGAACTCTTCACTGAGGCCAAAATTAAGGGCACTGTGACTTTTAGAAAGTCCACTTGGTTAGCAACTTTCGCTGATTTTTACAAAGAGAATTCTAAATTCCTTTTGAGGCTTCAGTTCTGCACCCTTTAATGGGTGCAAAGGACATTCCATGATGTTTGCTGGGTATGGGAAAGTTCAGAGTCCCCTTTAAAATTTAAGCCTGAGTTTTTGTGTGGGGGCCCTCTGCCCCCTAGTGTTGTCAAAGGATGCTGCAGCACGTAAGAGTTTGTGGTTTTGCCATCTGATATTTGTGCCCAGCTGGCTATTAACCTTGTGTGGAGACATCCCTGGCACAATGTTGTCTCTGAGGTTTAAGTGTCCTGAGGTCAGGAGCTATTTCTCTGCACCTCTCTACCTGCCACAGGAATAACAGGGATTATAGAGCACTGGGACCTCTATTTAAAGGCTCAGATGGATGGACCCTTTGATTCTCCCAGGAGTCACACATTGAGGGAACCAGGGTTTACATTTTAAAAAGAAAAGCAAGCCTGCAGTGTGCCTGTGAGCCCCATGATATCTGAGGACATAGTCCAAAGCAGAATAGACCAAATGCTCTCCGATCTCCAGGTGCCATTCAAGATGCTCACCATCCCTCCAGGTCTCCATACCCCAAGCCCTGGTTGCAAGATAGCCATCGTCTTTGGGGTGAACAGGCAGAGAAGTAAGGGTGGAACTGGGCTTGGTCGTCTCTATGTGCCTTCTGAGAGCTTTGACAAGCCAGAAAGAAGCCAGTGGATTGAGAGTGCTCTTGGACAGGAGAGGCATGTTAGCTGAGAGTAGATATCAGCTTATTTCCTGGCTTTCTCATCTACAAGCACACCCACTCCTTGGGGGCTTGTAATACAGGGCGAGGTGGATCACCAACAGGCATCAGAGTGGCGTAGTCATCAGGGGCTAGCTGAAGGAAGAACACAGATTTAGGGTAGGGATCTCCAGACTCAGCCAGGCCCCAAATTCCTCAAGCCATACAACCTCACCTGGTAGGCCTGGAAGACACTGAGCAGATCCTTCATACCAGTTGTGTATGGGACACCCTGCATGCGCACCAGGGCTCCTGGCTGGGACAATACTGAGGTGGAAGTAGAAGCCAGGGCAGCAGGGGGTGTGGTGAGGTAGCCCACAGTGGTTGGAGAGACTGGAGGGCTAGGGTGGGAAAGACAGGTGTTTGTGCTTTGTACTTAGTTCAGTTCTTCCTTCTTCAGGGGCTTTAAGTGTCACATGCCTGTAATCCCAGCAACTTGGAAGACTGAGGCAGGGAGATTGCAAGTTTGAGGCTAGCCTCAGCAATTTAGCAAGATGTCTCAAAATAAAAAGGGCTGGGGAATGTAGCCCAATGGTAAAGCACCCCTGGGTTCAATCCCTGGTAATACAAAATAAAACCATTGGCTCTACAGTATCATCTCCCATCTATTTTACAGATGGCATCAGCCAGCCCATACCTTTTACTCCTTTGTCATCTCAGAGTAAAGTCCAGTCTTCAACAGACCTTGGGTTATCTGGGCCAGAAAGGGATCACAATCCTTCCCCAAACCAGGACAAGTAGATGGTCTGTGGGATTCTGGCAGCAGCATACCTGGGATAGTAGGCTGTGTAGTTCATGTAGAGTTGAGTGGCTGGCCCTGGGTAGTAGGCAACAGGGGTAGGGGCAGCAGGCACCCTAGCAGCTGGGAGCAATGCTGAAGAGGGATACAGAGCTGCTGTCTCCGTGGGAATAAGGGTTGGGGTGGCCTGGAAGGTGGCGTAGGTGGGTGGTGAGAGGCCTAGAGGCAAGTAGAGAATATATCTGCATGGAGTCCAGTACTGCCCTGGGTGGGACAACTATAGAAATTGGGATGTAGAACAGCCTGGTCCCCACATGCCTCTTTCTCCAGCCCTAGGGAACACTCACAGGGCAGTTTGCAGGGTGGAGGGGACATGCCACTGCGGCCCAAGGTGCCACCCATCAGGACACGGCTCATCTCCTCTGTGGAGCAGGGGACCACCTCTACATAGCGTTCCTTCATCACCTTCTTGTGGCAACGCTGAGCAGCAGCTAGGGCCCGCTCTGCTGACATCATCTGAATGAAGGCATCACCAGATGGCCGGCCCTGTACATACCATCTTATAAGCAGTCTGTCTGTACATACCATCTTATAAGCAGTCTGTCTTATGCAAGAGTGCCTTACCCCTAAAACTCTTCCTACCTGTAAACACAAGTGTCCCCCCTCCCAGCAGCAGTCTCACCTGCTGGTTGAGTACCATGTGCACACCATGGGGCCGGATGTCAGCTGCTGCCTCCCCCAGAAAGTTCAGAATATCTTCAATGGTGGCCGTGTAGGGTAGGCCTCGAAGGCGTACACAATCCCTCCCAGGCCCAGCTGCCAGTGGGAATGGGATGGGTAGCAGTGGAGCAGTCAATGTGGGAAGGAGTGGGCTAGATGCATAGCGGTTCAGAACCTAGTAGGAAGACAACGGGCTCATCAACCAAGTAGGGCAGGGGCACAGAGGAGTAAAGGTGCATTCCCGGGAAGGAGCACATTGTGGGGTGAGGACCCCTGAGTACTTACCTGCTGCACTTCAGCTGCAGTGCTCCTGAAGAGTTCAATATATCGCTTACCAAGCATGCCCTTGTGCCTGCGCAGTGCAGCCTGTGCCAGCTCCTCACAGGCAAAGAGGGCAAAGGCATCACCAGTTGGTCTCCCATCAGGATGGCGTACAAAGAGCAATCCATCAGCTCCCCCAGTCACTGGGCACTCTGGCCCCAGGAAACCTAGTACATCTGTTGGCCCAGCTGAGAAGGGCAGTCCTCGTAGCCTCAGAATCACTTGGTCTTCCCGTGAAAGGAAACGAGCCACCTCTAATGATGTTCCTGTGTGGGGGCAGAGGAGTCAGCTTGTGAGTCACCTATCTTCGTTCTTGTACTTCCAAACATCCAACCATACAGGGGAGCAGAGAGGTAAGAAGTAGTGGTACGTGGGATAAGGTCAAGAAGCAGGGGAGCTAGGCCCTGGGGAGGGTACACTTACCCCCTGCAATCTTCACAAACTCCTCCCCTGTTGCTTTATATACCTGTGGATACAAAAGGAACAGCCCATGGGTCTCCAGCCTGATTCAGCTTTACCCTGCTTCACTCCCAGCCCAAAGCCCCACCTCAATATAACGGATGCCCATGTGGTGCTTGTGTCTCTGCAGTGCTAGGTCCCGCTGCTCGCTGTCCACAAAACGRATGAGGGCCTCACCATTTCTGCGGCCCTGGGCGTTGAGGCAGAGTGCTACACCACCCCTGTGGAGCCAGCACTGTTAGTGCCTCCTGGGTAGG